TATCGGAGGGGAGGGGGAGTTAGGAAAGTGGGACAAGGCGGATAATCGGTAGTCAAAGCAGGGGAGGGGAACAAGACGGAGAGGACCGCCTGCGCGTTTCGGTCTGCTGTCGGCAAGTACAATAAAGTAAGAGAGCAGGCTGGTTGAGCACTGGAACAATTTAATCGTGAGAGATAGCCGCAGCAGCAGCAAAGTGGCAAAAATTATAGGGTTTGCAAGTCAATCAGTGACGCAGGGCTCTGTACGCTTGTGCCAGACCGATATAGCGTTTCACTGAGTTCCCAGCTGTGGACCAGGCTTCAGTCAATTCTCGAGCCGGCGTTTCAGAAGAGACTGCGGGACAAGGTGTTTGAATTGCACACCGGTCAAAAGCTATCATCCGCAGCAGGGTGGTAAAAATCAATGACACGCAGTAAATCCCAAAGATCAATCTGGGGCAGTGTATCGTAACTCATGCCTAAGCTGTCCTCACAACTATACAGGGAAATCTGAACGCATGCTCGAATCGCGCATGCATAACATACATACATACAAAACGGCGGTTTATAGTTGGATGAAGATATCAACCTTATCGGAGGGAGGGGGATAGGAAAGTGGGACAAGGCGGATAATCGATAGTCAGAACAGGGGGAGGGGAAAAGGGGGTGGGGGTCAAGACAGAGATGACCGTGTGCGCGCGTCGGTCTGCTACCGGCAAGTATAATCAAGGAGAAGACTGGTCGACCACCGGAGCAACAGCAAAATGGCGACAATTATAGGGGTTGCAAGCTACTCAGTTACGCACGTCTGCACGGGGCTCTGTACACGGGTGCCAAACCGATATAGCGTTTGATTAAGTTCCCATCCGCCAATTCTCAAACCCTCTTACTTCCAGCATTGGAAGACTGGTCTTGGACCGGAACAGTTTGCTTATTATTTTGAGCTTTCAGAGATCGCAGCAGTAGCAAGATGACGAAAATTATAGGGGGTGCCAGCTAATCAATTATTACTGACGCAAGTCTGGAGATGGCTGCGCAGGGCTCTGCGCACTGAGACCAAATCAAAATGCCGACTGAGTTCTAATCCATGGACCAGGCTTCAGTCAATGCTCGGCCCCTCTTAGTTCCGGCGTGAGAGATTGTTTTGACAACTGCGAAGTTTAACTCACGGTCCGTTATGTAGTTGTGAGCAACAATCTGCGTCTCAAAAGCAACTGAACACACCGTTGCTGGACAAGGTGTTAGAATTGCACACCGGCCAAAAAACTATCATACGCAGCAGGCTGATAAAAATCAATGACCCACTAAATCCTACAGAACAATCAGGAATAGTATATCGCAACTCGTGCTTATGCTGTCCTCGTAACTACACAGGACAAACTGAAAGCATGCTGGGATCGCGCATACATAAGCTGGCAGTACGATGGGGCGACGAATTATCGCATGTTTCTGCCCACACCAGACAAACGGACCATGAGTTCAACTCTGCAGCCGTCAAGATAAGCATCCACACCGGAAACGAGACAAGCCGACTGTAGCCTGGTCCACGGATGGAAACTCAATCAAACGCCATATCGGTTTGGCGCCAACGTACAGGGCCTTGCGCATTCACCTTAATACGCGCGGTACTGATTGGCTTCCAACCCCTATAATTTTCGCCATTTTGCTGCTGCTATCGCAAATGATGGACTCTTATACGC